GGCTTGTCTATAACAAACACTGCTCATCGGTTACATAATTAAGTAAAGAGAGATGAAGAGGACAGGCCTAGAGTGAAAGATTTATAAGAGAAAGGCATAGGGGAGGGGGAGAGAGAGAGAGAATCAAACCCACACACTGTGGTATAAACAGAGACGAAGCTCAAAGACAAAGATAGGTGAAAATCTGATTCTGTTTCTACCAATCCCACCCTGTGTTAAGAGAAAGCTGCTGAAGGTTTAATATTATGTTGATATTCTCAACTGAGACTTGCATGGAGATACGACACCTGAGTGTTTTCCTGGGCGACATAAAATGGGAGGCAGAATCTATCCTTGTCATAATTGAGTAGTGGCTCCCCTTCTCAGCTAATTACTCCTTCCTTCTCCTCCTTTTCTATTCGCTTTCCCTTCTCACTTCTAGATTCCTCTCCTTAGCCTTGAGTCTCAGAGGCAAGCATGGTGACTGCCCAGTTCGTCACCAGCTGCCTAGGGCTTATCACAGAACCTGTATGTACACAGAAGGGCACTTGAACTTTTGTTGAATAATTTACCTTCATTCCTACAGTGATGTCATCTGTAATAAACTGAGACTTTCACCTCTCTGGTAATGACTTTAAGTCTCCATCTTACATCTGAACAATCTCTTTATACAAGAGCCACGAACCTAATTTCTCAGAAATGAGCTTTGATTACAAGTCTAATATTCACCTTGTTCAAAGAAGCCAGCCATTTTTCTCCCAGGCTGACAGCCATTAAAATCTTAATTTCCGTCTGTTCTCTGAGGCTAAAAATCTTGCAGCCCTGCCCCCCACCACCCCTCTTGCTGCCCCTTATCTTTATGCCCCATCTGATTTACTAACATACACGTTGTGACTTCCCTCTGAAAGGTCTTTCCAGTTTGCCTTCTCTCTACTGTCTTGGCACTAATCCCACCCACTGATTACCAGGCTCAACGCTTTTGCCAGATTTTTACGAGAAACGAATCTCATCCTTTTTAATGTACTTACTTACATATTTGGATTTAAATGCCTTCTATTTGTCCTTCCTTCCTTCCTGGTTCACATTCCTTTTTCTTTCCTTTCCTGCCTTTTTTAAAAAAAAAATCATTCAATATTCCTCCACTATAAACTTGCTCATTATACATTATTTTACTCTCATTGCTTACCCTGGAGATTATTACAACATGCATCCTTGACAATACAAGGACCTCAAAAACAGTTTATAGACTCATCTACCCCAAGTTCCTTTCATGTACAACTGTTGCCATGTCTTTTAATTCTTAATAAATTTTGAACATCCTAAGATGTTCCTGTTTTATGCCACCAAATTAGCAGTTTTTATCTTTGCTTTTGTATTTCACCTTAATTTTCATGGGTACAGAATCCTAGATGAAGTTATATTCATTTAGCACTTTAGAGATTTCATTCTACGGTATTCAGACTTACTTTGCTACCACTGAAAAATCAACTGAAAGTCAGTGTGGGTTCTCTTGAAGGTTATAACCTCTGGCTGCGTAGTTTTTCTTTTTATCTTTAGGTCTCCGCATATGTTTACATATGGCTTTCTGTGTATTTATCTTGCCTGGGAATCACAGTGCTTCCTGAATCTGTATCTTTCATCAGTTTTGAAAAACCTTACCCTTTCACTCTCCTTTTCTCTTGGGACTCCAATTACAAGTATGTTAGACCTCCTCACCTTACCCCATCTTTCTCCCAGATTCTTTTTGGTTTTCTAAACCTTTGTCTCCCTGTGCTCTAGTCTGGATATTTACTCTGATCTCTCTTCCAGTCAACTAATTCATCTTCAACTGTGTCTAATCTGATGTAAAACTCATCAACTGAGTTTTTAATACAGTTCCAGAATTTGTTTTTAATTTTCCAACTCTTGGCTAAGATGATCAATCCTGTCAAGGGATTCCTTGAACGTGCTGATTATGATTAAAGTCTGGTAACTCCAATATCAAGATTTCTTATGGGTTGGTTTCTAAGGTTATTTGTTTCTGTTGGTTTTTAGCCATGTCTTGTTTTTATGCTTAATTATTTTTTATAGAAAACTAGAAATCATATACGAAAAATTCTAGAGATAATTTCCTCCAGGAAGGGTTCATTTTTGTTTCTGAAAGGAAGTTAGGCTAAGCGCATTAGTAATCTTAGATCACCATAATCCACTCAGTGCTGTAACTTACTTGAATCTGGGCTCTAAGTCCTGTGATGGGTAGTATATTCCTACTTTACCTTACTTCAAGGGGTGGCCCTTCACAGTTGCAAGATTTTGCCCACATTCATCTCTACTCCTGCCAGCCTGACTACCTTTTGCCTCCCTATTTCCATGAACCTATGAAAATGCTACTTAGCCTCAGATACCGCTCTTAGAATCTACAAGTATTTCTAAGGAATAAACAGGAACAAATGCCAGGCTTATCTCTCTGGGCTTTCCCTCGCTCCTGGATTTTGTTCCCATAATTCCTCACTGCCTTGGTAGCCTTCCAGTCCCTCAGACAGTTTTGTTTTGTACAACTTCTCGAGCTGTTCTCAAGAGGTGCATTTGAAATAACCCATTCCACCATATGGGAAGGTAACTCTCCTTTATTACTCATTTTGTCCCATATTACCCAGTGTATGGCTTTCAGTGCCCTCCATATCCTCACCAACCCCTTTTTAACCAAACAAGAACACAGACTTGAGTGTTGGAGAGACTTATGTTCAAACTGTGGCTTTACCTCTACTTACAGCTATATGGCAATGGACAAGTTATGTAGCTGTTTCCCCCATAATTCATTTGTAAGAAAAGGCATGTAAAACCTGCTTTGGGATCATTGAGATTAAATAATATGGGCAAAGTGTTTAGCACAATGTGTAGTACACAGTAATGTTAGGACTTACTGAGCATTATTATCACTGCTAGTTCTATTAAAATTAATAAATAAGTCATCCTATCTGCAAATCTGATCAGTCTCTTCAGTCTGGTGAGGTATGTTTAGACATTTTCACTTTCGTAACTTGTTCACACTAGCTTTCATTTTTCGTTTTTCCTAATGTAATCCAACACATTCTTCAAGGTCTAGGACGGAGTTCAAGCTCCCCCAACAGTATGTCCAAATTAAAAATCCATACTAACATGCACTTGCTCTAATTCCTATTCATTTTAGCAGCATAGTTTATCAATGATTCCCTAATTTTGTATTAGTCTCTTACCAAAACTAGGTTACAAAATGTTTATAAAACTGGCCAATAACTCATACCCTCTACAATACACCCAGTATAGCACCAAACACATAAGTTCTCAGACAAGAGCCTGGCTCAGGATTGAAAAAAGTTCTTCACATTCTACAGATGCAGTAGAAATTAGTACTGAAAAGCACATAGGATGGGGCACAGAGGGACAATGGTAGAAGAACAGGAAACAAGTACATAAGCACATCAGAAAAGAAAGGGCCCCTGGGTGGCTCAGTGGGTTAAAGCCTCTGCCTTTGCCTCCAGTCATGATCCCAGGGTCCTGGGATTGGCCCGCTTCGGGCTCTCTGCTCTCTGCTCGGCGGGAGGGGGGGGGCTGCTTCCTCCTCTCTCTGTTCCTGTCTCTCTGCCTGCTTGTGATCTCCGTCGGTCTAAATAAATAAATAAATAAATAAAATTTTTAAAAAAAGAAAGTATTTCTGATAAAATTTTTACTTAAATCTTTTACTGTAAGTATAACTTCAACTAACCTAGTTGCATTATTTTAAAATGACAACTCAAAGTCCAAAGTTGCATTTTTACAATTCAAAGTTAGAGTTTAACAGAACTTTCTGGCTCCTTTGAGAAGGTCCTCCCTGTTCCGTACGGGGGGGGCGGGGTAAAACCCTAACTAGTTCAAGAAGTTGGCAATAGTGATCCGTGAAAGAGTACCCCCTGGATATTAGTCATGAAAATTGTAATGTCCTGCTTTACTTGTATTCAACATGATTTGCTCATGAGAATGAAAACAAAATAAAGATTTAAAACATGTACCTTTGTGTAACAGACCTATGGTTGCAATTCTTTGATATTTCTGAGCCTTTAATTTTTTTATAACAAGTACAGAAGACAAACTAAATGGTCTCTGATAACACAGTAACATTAAATACCTTAATTTTTTATTAAGGTTTTTTCTAAAAGTTTCATGCTATTCTTACAAGGCACAATTTTAGTGTATTTTCTGCTTGAATATCACTTTCTCCCAATCAATACTAAAGTAACTATACTACTCAAATAACTATCAAGTAAAAACAGGTCACTCTAGAAATCATCCCATCTCTGCTTCTGCCTCCATTCCCCACCTCACGACCTGGTATTTTATTGACAAAAACTTGTGTTTTACTATTTGTGAACAGAATGATGCATTTCAGTGACAGTATATTTACAACAAACTTCTCCTTTTAGCAACTGACAGTGTCATTTACCACCCAAATGTCACGTGCGAAGAGTATGCTACATTATACTCATGGTCATTCACATTTAAGTAACATGTGATACCTAATGTTGGTGTTATTTGCAATTTTGAGTTTTTGAATCCCTGCTGAAATAGCCCGATGTGTAGCAGAAGGAGCTAAAATGTAGAGATTTTATTTTCATAACCTCAGATGAGTCAATTCCAATTACTAGATGGGAAGAACAAGTACACAAGTACCTCACAGAGAGATGACTGTGAACATGTGTTAATTTTGATTTTTCAGGGGAGGAGGCGTGATCTCTTCTAGGCGTCAGGAACAGCAGGGACTGTGAAACATTTGTGGCAATGCTGAACCATTTGTATAATACAAATAATCAGGAAAAGGATAAAGTAAGAGAAAGATGTGATTCAAGATGTCAATAAATACCTGAAGTGGCAAATAGAGAACAACTCATTTCTTAGAGGACTATTCTGGCCATCCCATTCGAATACAGGAAACAAGGCTGCATGCTTTCTCAGCCACACACTTCAGGGGGACAGTGCTTGCAAGTGGAGAAAGGCCTTGCATTTGACATCCATGAACAACAGCTTACCCACAGCATTGTAGAGAGGCTCTCCGGTTAACTTGTCCCAGACTACAGTGGTTTCCCTCTGGTTACTAACACCAATAGCTTCAAAGAGAAGATTAAACAGAAGGGAATATAAATTAAACAAGTAGAAAACTACTTCAGGAGAATCGTTCTCATGTGGTTTTTTTTTTTTTTTTAACAAGCATAACGAAACTTAACAACTTGAAAAAACGCTTGGCACTTCTGTAGTGGCAATGAATATACTGTCTGTGAGCAGCTCTGGGAGAAGTGCACACCCACTGTCACGTGCTTCTCTGTATTTCTGCAAGACTGCTCCGCACTTCACTACAAGCACACAACAACACGGACCCAGGTCTGGATCCAAACGAAAGGCTCCCAGGTGACCTTATAAAAAAGGGAATGCACTAATTTCAAATTTACAATACCCAATTCATTATTCTATGGAGACCAATAATCACCTCATCCATTTACTTATGAAGTGTTATAGGCAATTTCCCTCTGGGGGCACGCGCACGCCTACATTGTAAGAAAACAGCTACAGATAAAATCCTTCACAGTGGGCAACCTCCTATTGTGGTTCTTCAGAAATTGTTTTGTATATGTTCTAAGACATATGAATTTGAGTAAGGCATAAATACAGTATGTGATGGCATTTACATTGCACTGACCCTCACACAACTCAAACACTGTAGTCGTAGTTATTCTAGGTAAAAATACTAACCCATGCCATTTTATTCAATTCAGCTTGATTCGGCTCTAGCAGAGGTTCTCAGACTCGGCCTTACATCAGAACCAACCGGAGAGCTTTTTAAGAAAAATATCAGTGCCCAGGCCATGACCCAAACATTCCAATTTAACAGACTGGGGTAGGATCTGAACATCAGTATTTTTCCTTTACAACTCTCCAAGCGATTGTACCACGCAGCCTGGGTTGAACACATCAGGCTGAAGGATCGAACTCTCTGGAGTGTAAGGTGAGAACTGACTTTAAAGGCTCTATAATCAATAACAGGTCTTCCTCTTAAATTTCCCCGAAAACCATACATCATGTGACCATTCGGACAGTCCTTCTAGTGATAAAATACTACCTCTCTCGAGGCAGACCAATCTTTATTCACAACTTTGTTATTTTAAAAAAAATCCTCTTCCTTAGTTTTCACCTATAGATCTCTGCTACAGGCTTTGCAGATATATGGTATAAGTTTAATACTTCTCCTACGTGCAAGTTTTTCACAAACTTGAGGCAGCTATATTGCCCCCCAGGTCTTCTCTTCCCCTGTGTAAGCTAAACAGTCTAATTTCCTTCCACTGCTCCCACCATATGGCATGGTTTATTTATTTTTATTTTAAGTAATCCCTAAGCCCAGCATGGGGCTCAAGCTCACAACCCCAAGATCAAGAGTCAGATGCTCTCCGACAGAGCCAAACATCCACCCTTCCATGTGGCATCATTTAAAATCCCTTCACCACCACCCCTAGGAACACACAACTTTGTCTGTACTGTTCAAATTGTACATCCAGAATAAAACATGATAGGAATGTTCTGACCAGCAGAGACCTGAGGAGGACCAATAGTTCCCTTGTGCTAAATAATTCTTTTTAAAGCTCAAAACAACCATTTATCTTTAAAACAATACACTAAAATCTAAATTAAAAAGTAATTACTTAGATTTTATTTTAAGGAGATTTTGTGTGTAACAGCAATGAAAACTGGCCTATGGAAAATGAACAATGTATGTACTTTACTGAGGTCTATAACTGACACAGAACAAAGTTTCAGGTATACAATAGAATTGGGTAGGTGTTATGCACTGCAAAGAGATCACAGTAAATCTAGTATCCTGTCAGCATACAAAGTTACATAATATGCAATACAATACTGTTGACTATAGTCACCACACTGTACAATATATCCCCATGACTTACCTATTTTATGACTGGAGTTTGTATTTCACTCCCTTCTCCCATTTTGCCCCCCTCCCACCAGCAACCACTGATCTGTTCTCTGCATCTATGAGTTTTGTGTTGTTTTTTGAATTCCACATAAAAGTAAAGTCCTACAGTGTTTGTCTTCCTCTGACTTATTTCACTTAGCATACGCTTAAGGTCCATCTATGTGGTCACAAATGACAAGAGTTCATTTTTCATAGCTGAATAATATTCCACTGGATATTCCATTCATCCATCAATGGACACTATGGGTGCTCCTGTCTTGGCTATTGTGAATAACTGCAATGAACATAGGGGTGTGTTTATCTCTTCGAATTAGTGTTTTCATTTCCATATGGTAGCTCCGTTTTTACTTTTTTGAGGAACCTGCATACTGTTTTCCACAGTGGCTGTACAGTTTGCATTCTCATCAACAGAGCATGACAGTTCCCCTTCCTCCACATCCTCCCTAATGGCTGTCATGGTCTTTTTGATAACAGCCATTCTGATAGGTGTGATGGGATATTTCACTGTGGTTTTGATCTGTACTTCCCTGATAATGAGTGATGATGAGCATCCTTCCATATGCTGTGTGCCATCTGTAGGACTTCTCTGGAAAAATGACATTTGGGTCCCATGATCATTTTTTAATCAGACTGTTTGTTTGCTATTATTGAGTTGTAGTTCTTTGTAATTTTGGATATTAACCCTTTATCAGATAATATGATTTGCAAATACATTTTCCCATTTAGTAGGTTGCCTATTTTGTTGATGGTTTCCTTTGCTGGGCAGAGGCCTTTTTGTTTAGTTTTTGATTACTGATTCAAGCTCTTTGCTTATGTTTGGCCTATTCAGGTTTTCTATTTCTTCATGATTCAGTCTGGGAAGACTGCAGGTTTCCAGGAATATATCAATTTCTTCTAGGTTGTCCAACTTATGGACCTATAATTGTTCATAGCATTGTCTTACAATGCTTTGTGTTTCTTTGTTATCAGTTGTAACTTCCTCCCTTTCATTTCTTATTTATTTGAGCCCTTTCTTTTTTTTCTTAGAGAGTCTAGCTAATAATAGTTTATCTAAATAACCTATATCCAAAGAAAATTTACTTACCAGAACATCTCTTCTAAGGATACAAAGATGACAGTCTTTACTTCAAGAAACTTCAAGGCATAGGGTAAAAGGAAGAGATTTGGGGGCATTTCCTTAATATTAGAAGACACTAATGTTTGTAGGAATAAAGATGGAAAACAAAGGAGAATGTGGTTGGGGGAGCAGGGGAGCTAGAAATCAATTGGCCATGGTCTTGATTCTTGTAGTGACGGGAGGGGATGAGATTAATGCACAGGTGGAGGGAGGAGCCTCAAGAAGACAAAAGGCTATTGCTTTCCTTGGGATGTGGGGAAGTGGGTAAGAGTTCTAGGTAAGTACAGGAATAGGAAATGAGGAATTAAACCCCCACAGCCTCAATGTTCTCTGTGAAGTAGAACACAAAGTTATCTGCTCAAATGAGCTCAAGCAAAGTAAGATCATAGGGTTTCCGGCACTATTTAATTAGAGCTCAGGCTCTGAAACCAGACTGCTGGGGTTCAAATTCGAATTCCTGTTTCCTAGCAGCATGACCCTAGATATCAATCTGTTTCATCTTCTGCAAAATGGAGGTAATAGTTCTCACCTAACAGGGTTACAATGAGGAACCCCTAGGTTAATCCTTATTATGATAGCGCCCAGCACATAGTAACTGCTCAATAAATGCTCCTTACTGCTTCCATTCATTGTCATCAATATTATTATTTTTAAGTAATTAATTTATCTTAGAGATAGAGAAAGCACAAGCAGGAGGGGCAGAGAGAGAGAGACTCTCAAGCAGACTCCAGACTGAGCATGGAGCCTGACTTAGGGGTCAATCCCATCTGAGCCGTCTAAGATTTGGTCACTTAATCGACTGCACCACCCAAGTGCCCCTCATTGTCAACATTATTATTGAGGGAAAGAGTGGACTAATAGTTGTATAGCAGGACCCATAAAGGAATTGCCCAGCAGTACTGAGGACAAAACAGAGGCCAGAGAACTCAGTGGGACCTCAGCAATGGAATACTGTGAACATGATAGTTTTAGTGACAACTTTACACTGTGGGATCACAATGAATTCATGGTCCAGTAAAATCTCCTATTCCTCCCCACTAGGTTAATTTTTGCTCACTTAGCTACAGTCTCTGAGTCACTATCCTCTGCCCTTTGGGCTACCCTTCTTTATTGGCTCACTCTAACTTATATTTAGAATGCAATCTAGGGCTATATTCCATCTGACTCATTGGTCACAGGTTCCCCCCTGACCATTCCTTCTTTCCCTTCTATCTTAACTTGATTCCTTTGTGCCAAGTAACTACTGCTTTTCTTGCAGACAGTCAAAGTCCAGCAAAAGAGCTTCTCAGGAATTCTCCTGCAGCCATAAATACGTCTCCATTACTGGTTTCTACTCAGGGCACACAGGCCTTATGTAGTACCTCTAAACTTTTTCAGTGTTCTAACTTCCTGTCACTTTACCCTAAAATCCTCTGTACTTTAAGGTTTTTTTTTTTTTTTTTTTTAATGTGGAGCTTGAACTCATGGCCCTGAGATCAAGAGTCACATGCTCTACCTACTGTGCCAGCCAGGCACCCCTGTTCTTTTGTTTTGTTTTTTTTAAAGGAAATTTTCTGGGGCACCCGGGTGGCTCAGTTGATTTGGCACCAGACTCAAGATTTCCACTGAGCTCATGATCTCAGGGTTCTGAGATCAAGCCCCATGTTGGGCTCCCTACTCAGCGGGGAGTTTGCTTCTCTCCCTCTGCCCCTCCCCGCACTTATGCTTGTGCATGCTCACTCTCTCTCCCTAAAATAAATAAATAAAAATTTTAAAGGTTTTTAAATTTTTATTTATTTGACAGAGAAGAGAGAGCACAAGCATAGGCAGGGGCAGTGTGGCAGGGCCAGAGGGAGAAGCAGGCTCCCCACTTGGCAGGGAACCCAATGTAGGGCTCAATCCCAGGACCTTGAGATATGATCTGAGCCAAAGGCAGACGCCCAACCAACTGAGCCACCCAGGCATCCCATAAAACTAGGCACTATTAAGAGAAGTGTGTGTGCTGGAACTAGCAGTCAGAATCCGGCTCCTTGCTTGGTAGGGAGCCTGTTTCTCCCTCTGCCTGCCGCTCCCGCTTGTATGCTCTTTCCCCCTCTCTCTCCCCCTGACAAATAAATAAAATTGTTAAAAATAAAAAAAAATCGTGCCTAATTTTAATTCTGTTTTTCTCAGAATTACACATTCAGGTTCTGTAATTCTCCATCCTGGTCTATCTCCCATTTAGGGGCATGACAGCTACATGTATAAAATATATATAATTTCCTGGCCCCACAGTCTTTTAATTGTAAGTACTATCATCAATGGCATATATAAAACGCAATGTAGTAGTACATTGTATCTAGGAGGTTCATGCTTCACCTGTATATTCTTTCCTGGTAGATATTTTTCTCAACAGTGAGTGCTGCAAGTAAAATTAACTAGTTAAATGCTAACTTCACAATCTCTGGTTCAGTTTTGCTTGACACTGTCTGTGAAAAGTTAGGACAGTTAAGAAAATATACTTAGAAAAAGCATTTGTAAATACTGCTGGTTGTTATAACTGTTGGGAGAATTAAGGACCGTAGGCACAATTATTTAAAAATAAAACCAGGGGGAGCTGCCTGGGTGGCTCAGTGGGTTAAGCCTCTGCCTTCAGCTCAGGTCATGATCTCAGGGTCCTGGGATAGAGTCCCACATCAGGGGACTGCAGGGAGCCTGCTTCCTCCTCTCTCTCTCTCTCTCTCTCTCTCTCTGCTTGCCTCTCTGCCTACTTGTGATCTCTGTCAAATAAATAAAATCTTAAAAAAAAAAAATAAAACCAGGGGGCGCCTGGGTGGCTCACTCAGTTGGCCTTTTGCTCAGGTCATGATCCTGGGGTCCTTGGATCGAGTCCCACACCGGGCTCCCTGCTCAGCAGGGAGTTCCTTCTCCCTCTTCCTCTGCCACTCCCTCTGCCTCTCCCCCTGCTCATGCTTGTGCTCTTGTTATCTCTCTCAAATGAATAATAAAAAATATTTTTAATAAAATGTATAAAAAAGGGGCACCTGGGTGGCTCAGTGGGTTAAAACCTCTGCCTTCGGCTTAGGTCATGATCTCAGGGTCCTGGGATGGAGCCCCACATCCGGCTCTCTGCTCAGCAGGGAGCCTGCCCCCCACCCCCACCCCACCAACCCCACCTGACTTTCTGCCTACTTGTGATCACTGTCAAATAAATAAATAAAATCTTTTTTAAAATGTATAAAAAATACAAAAATAAAATAAAATAAAATCAGGAGCACCTCCCTGGCTCAGTCGGTAGAGCGTGCAACTCTTTGATATTGGGGTCATGAGTTCCAGCCCCATGCTGGCCCTAGAGCCCACTTAAAAATTATTAAAAATAAAATCCTAATTTATAATTGGAACACATTTTTAGGAAAAAAAAAAAAAAACCAAACCCAAAAACGACCAAAAGTGAAATAGTAAGAGCCCTGGAGGAAGGCTATGGGGCCACTAAAAGTGCTGTGTGGGAAGAGGTCTAAAGCTTTGTAAGAAAAACAGCCTCCGAAAAATGTGTGCTTAAGGCACGTTGTTAACACTTGGAAATGAGATGCAGCCACAGCTGGGAAGCGGTTTTGGAGAACAAGGTGCCTTTCTAAGACACCTTAGACATTCTAAGACACTGCCCCTGCCCGGAGTAGAGAGAAGACCGAAATGTGTGTGGATATGTTCAGCAGGGCCAGGCAGCAGATGTGGGGGGTTTCTCTTTAACAGTATGGTAACTACATTTGATACAAGAGAATGTAATCACTGAAAAAAATGCTCTCGGGTTTTTTTAAATTTATTTTTAAAATTTTTTAAAGATTTCTATGTGTTTATTTGACAGAGATTACAAGTAGGCAGAGAGGCAGGCGGGGGGTGTGGTGCGGGGGGGTGGGGTGGGGAAGGAGGCTCTCCGCGGAGCAGAGAGGCTGAGCAGAGAGCCTGATGCGGGGCTTGATCTCACCACCCTGAGACCACGACCCAAGCAGAAACCAAGAGCTGGATGCTTAAACGACTGTGCCACCCAGGTGCCCCGTCCAGTCTTTTTTAAGTAAGTTTTATTTATACAAATAGATGAAAGTCTGAAAAAAAAATTCAAAGGTTCTCCCCAGCATCTCTACCAAAATAAGTAAGTAATTGAAGTGTCGACTCAGGAGTGTTAGTAAATCTCAGAGCCAATGTGATGTGAATCAAGGCACCATCACTGGGAACTGATGGCTGCCCTTACTTACGTAAGGTCCAACTAGCTAAGGGGGTGCCTGAGCGGCTCAATGGGCGGAGTCTGCTTGAGATTCTCCCTCTCCCTCTGCCCTTCCCCTTGGCTGTGTGCGCTCTCTCTCTCTCTCAAATAAATAATTTAAAAACAATAAAACTATTTGGAATTAATAGAGATCTGTAGTGATCTAACACTCTCAATTATTTCAGGGAGATTCTCTTAAAATGCTTTGATTCCAATCTCCCACCCCCAGCTGTTCCCCAATCTATCTGGGAGCTCCAGCAAAAACCCCAAGCATCGTCTTTGACCCATCATTTCCCTCCACAGCACTACTCTATTACCCTAACTTCCAATACACTATCAAGTTCTGCCCCCTCTGTCGGCCTCCCCTGCTACCACTGTCAGTCAAGTCACCATCCTCTTTTCTCAGGACTTCCACAGCAGCCTCTACACTGGTCTCCCTGTGTCCACACTCAGACCTTCAGGACTTAACCACAAAGCTCAACATTGTAGTGAGGAAGCAGTCTGCAAACTGCCATCCTCTCACCTTGCTTAAAACCTTCTCATGGCCAGCTCCCTGTAATACTAAGAGTAACACCCAAACTCCTAACCATGGCTGACAAGGCCCTATCTGTTTCCCCAATTTCTGCTCCTACTGAAACCCCGGGTGCACCTCTGCCCTTATCCTTCTTTTACTCCACTTTTGACACACTGGCCTTTTTCTGACCCAGAAATACACTAAGCTTATTCCCACCTCAGGACCGTTACACATGCTGCTTCCTTTTCCTCAAACTTTTTTCTCCCAGTTATTCGCATGGTTGGCCCCTTTTGGCTTTTGAGACCTTAGCAAATGTGTCCCCTCCTCAGAAAGGCCTTCTCTAGCCATCCAAACTAAAGTAAGCCTTTCCAGGCACACCCCACTGTATCACCCAGTTTGAGCTTCTGCATGGGACTTCTTAGTATCTGAGATCAGCTTGTAGTTGTTTGCTCTTATTGTTGGGCTCACACCCACTGGAATAAAAGCTTCATGAGAACAGGGACCTCATCTTCTCATTTATTGTCGCATGCTGGGTTCACACAGAGATGCTTGCCACTGCACAGGCACTCGGTTATGTGCTGAATAAAGCAATGTACAAATTTGATTGAGATAATAATACATGGAGAAAAATATTCTATTCAAATACCTTTTATGTTGGAAATATCAATATTGAGCTGTCCAAGTTTCTCACATGTTTTCTCTATACATTCATAGACAGACTGCAGAATTTCCTTAGGATCTTGTTCCACCCATCTTTGAACAAAAGAATGTATTTGGTTAGTCCACAAGAAAGCAATACATATGTCATTTATTTCTCTAGAATTGTGCACGTATGAGGGTGTGACTGGTGCATAAATCAACAAAATCACATCAGGAAAGGAAAGCATCACCAATGTTCTAAACAAATGATTATAAACACCAGTCTATTCCCTTGTGTTTTCCTTATTCTTCCAATAGTAATTAATCATTTGAAAGATGGCAAGTAATGACCACAAATTGCAGACATTCTACCTACTTTAAATAACTTTTTCAAATCCAGTAAGAAATTAGTTCCCCAATTCTTTACATCCTGTGGCTCTGATGAATTTTAATAAACCATCTACATGTTTTCACTGGTTACTAGCTATTTCTAAGTAGAGTGAAATATATGTATGAATCTTGGGATGGATGGACTGATTGATCTACTTATTTATTTGAGTATGTACTTATTTATTTATGAAGCAAAAGGAAAAGAAGTGTACTAATCTCTTTTGCCATTTTTCTCCCAAGTTATTTTGTGAAAATTTAGGGAAAAAATTTAAATTTCTCCCAGTAATTATCTCATGTAGACAAGGGATTGCTTTCAGTTTTCAGACCCAATGCCAGTGCCATTTGGTAAGGTACGAGGACTTCGGAAAGATAAAAGTCTCATAATAAATGACACGGAAGAGAAATGTGGAAAAAACAAATGACAATTAAGGAAAACCACAAGTAAAAAGGACCCCAAATTTTAAAAATCCTACCCTACAATCTGCAAGTACAAGGGAATTCCAAGTGCCTTTTTTCTTGGTCTTCCTTGAGCTTGCCATGCTTTCCTGAGCTTTGAATTCTCTAAATTCTTTTTCTAAAAACCTAACTTCCTTCCACATACTTCTAACTTCTGTCTCTTTAAGACCCAGATGCTCTCTCTCCAAACTGCACTGGGATTAGGCCTGTGGACAGTCATTCTAATGTTGGTACCGTATCAATAGCTTTTACTATTAAAAGTAATTTTCTAAAATGAACGAGAACAGTTTTCATGGAAAGAAAATACCAAAATTTGGTAGGGCATCAAGTTTTTTTATTTTCTTAAAACATTAAATTTTAAAGTAAAATAAACAGATCGAAAGTACACAATTTCTTGAATTTTAACAAATGTATGTATCCATCTAACCAATACCCCAGTCAGTCAAGATATAGAACTATTCCTATCACTCCTGAAAGTTCTTTCATGCCTCTTTCAAGTCAATCACATACTCCACAGGCAACCAATTTCTGGATTTCTATCATCTTACTTTAGTCTCTTCTTGTATCTCAGATATAGGCATGTAGTTTGTACTCCTTTGTGTTCAGCTTTTTTCATGTTTCATGATATTAATACGAGTCAACCATGTTGTTGCATGCATCAGTTCACGTTTTAAAATTTGCCTCACGGTATTTCACTGTTATTCATTCCACAGATGACAGACATTTGGGTTGTTTCCAGTTTGGTGTATTATGAATAAAGCTGCTATAAACATTCATGTATGCCTTTCTATAGCCATATGCTTTCTGCTTTCATTTCTCTTGGATAAATTCCTAAGAGCAGAATCTGCAGATATATGGCTGATTTCATAAGAAACTGCCAGTTTTTCCAAGTGGGTACATCATAAACATCATTAAATTCTAAATAATACACTTAACATTCTATTTAATCGCAGCTACTACATACGCACATTATTCCCAAGAAGGATGACTGTAGCATTAGATGGTAAGAGATGTGAATGCTTACGCTCCAATCAGCAAAGCAGTGTTTCGCCAAGGATGAACGGAGAACTAAATGCTTTCAAAGTCAGTGCGGGATTTCTGATATTTAATACTCCTTTACTTTATTATCCCTTCCTTTCCTGTCACTGAATTCCCAAGTCATCAATCACTATTATTGCTGGGCCACCAAGGTATTACTTCTTTCCTCGACTAAAACCTCTCTCTCACTTCTCAGGAGGGGTTTGGTCAAGTTTGCTTTACAAGGCCAGAAGGTTTGTAAGGGGAGATGGATTAATAAACATGAGGTATCTTTACGTATTAAAGCAGGAAACATACCCTTCTCTTGGAAACTCTTGTTTTATTTCCACTTGATGATGACTAAGTAGTTCAGCTGTTTTTGAATTGAAAACCTGAAAAACATATTACAATGTTAGGGTAAAAATGCATGTAGAGAGCAAAGGTGTTCAGAGCTTTTCAGCAACAAGTTCTGACAGAAAAAGTCTGATCAGTTTTAAGGCCATACAGGATGTTCTACCTTCTCTTCAGATAGAGTCATGATAAAGAGAAATCTATTGGACACAAAGCTAAAGGGACAATTCCTTATTCTTAAAACAAAACAAAACAAAATTCACTCCAGATGTAGGAAACTGAATACATCAACCAATTAATGAGCATGGATCTCAAGAGAGAATAGGAAAACCAAGAATAAGAGAGAGGTGGTAAAACGCTGATGAGGACGTTGTAAGGTTCTATCCTGCTTCCATCTTGGATACAGAGACACAGAGTCATAGATGCCCAGGCAGAGAAGGGCACTGCACAAATTCCTTCAAAGGGAAGCACAGTAATGCATCTAGCTCTCATAAAAACAAGAGCCCTATCAACAGGGCAAAAGTGTTTCCTGTCCTATCCGGCGAAGTGCTGCACGTGACATACCTGTCATGAATTTTTGACCTTTGGTAAAAACATTTAAATTTTTTTAAGATTTTATTTATTTGACAGAGAGCACAAATAGGCAGAGCAGCAGGCAGAGAGAGAGGGTAAGCAGGCTCCCCGCTGAGCAGAGAGCCCAATGCGGAACTCGATCCCAGGACCCTGAGATCATGACCTGAGCCGAAGGCAGAGGCTTAACCCACTGAGCCACCCAGGCACCCCTTGGTACAAAACATTTAAACCAATGGATGAAAGCTACCAAAGAAGTGCTGTACAATCCTCCACAATTTTACTACTGCTAAAACAGTACTCAGAAAAAAAAAAAAAAACTTAGGGCGCATACGTGGCTCACTCAGTTAAGCTTCTCTGCCTTTGGCTCAGGTCATGATCCTGGGGTCCTGGGATCGAGCCCCAGGTCGGACTCTCTGCTTAGCAGGGAGCCTGCTTCTCCCTCTGCCTCAGCCTACCCCCCTCTCTCTCATGAATAAATAAAATCTTAAAAAAAAAAAAACTTGGCCACCTTCTCTCTTATACACTCTTTTTCACGTGTGTGAACCTATACTTGAGTACCAGAGTCCTTAGGCTTTCAGAGTCGGGATTCCTATTTTAATTAAACTCAACTTCCGAAATCACTGTAATTACAGTGGTGAAGTTACATCCAATTAGTTAAGAAAGTGTTTCCATACCTAGGCTTCCTGTGGGAGAATACTACCTGCTCAATGCAGTCTATGAAAGGGAAAGTAAGAAGAGAAAACACACCGTGAACAGCTGCTGCCCTCCCTCCCCAGCACACTATCTTCCTTTTGGGAGGACGTGACGAAAGCAAGAAGGTAAATTCTCAAGTCCTTGGAAGAGATAAAATATCCTACAAGTCAAAGGTTAACTTGACATGTCATAAATAAAAGGCACTTGACAGAATCCCAAATATCATCCCTCTAATTTACAACTTAGCATTAGAGTGTATCTCTAGGATGTTCACTCCATTTGTTCTGTTTTATTTTGAATTATCTCTAGGGCCTAGAGTAGTGCCTGGCATAGGGCTTACAATAAACATTTGTTGAATGCCTGAAAAAATATGGTCTACCCGGTATTTATTGGAAGAAAATTACCAAATCAAACAAGAAATGGTTATGTGATAGGAAATCTCTAATAGGGAACCACAGTTCTATTATTTTTATCCATACTACTAGGACTCCCAGGATCTACTCACAAATCCCCAAAGGACTCTGGGTTAGGAGACAAGGTGTCCCTTCTGGTTGGCTAGATTCACAAAGACCGCAACAGCAGACCTGTGGGACTCTGAATGGAGTAGGATCCCTGTTCCATCATCTAGTAGTTTTTACTAGGCTAACTTCAGGACCCCTGACACTAATGGATTTGTAGGCCTTTGGAATAGGCAGAGAAAAAGGAAGGATTTTGGAAAATTCCATCCGGCTTATTAGACTACGATGCTGGTGATCACAAACCATTTGGATGTAACAGGATGGAGCCTGGACCGCCTTACTCTTTCAGAGTTCTTTTTTTTTTTTTTAAACATTTTTTTTAAGATTTTTTTATTTATTTATCAGAGAGAGAGAGGGAGAGCGAGCGAGCACAGGCAGACAGAATGGCTGGCAGAGGCAGAGGGGGAAGCAGGCTTCCTGCAGAGCAAGGAGCCCGATGCAGGACTCGATCCCAGGACGCTGGGATCATGACCCGAGCCGAAGGCAGCTGCCTAACCAACTGAGCCACCCAGGCGTCCCTCTTTCAGAGTTCTGAAACTGCGCAGAATATAGATACCATCTCTAGAGGTTTAGGAGCTGACCCTGTGCAATACTTCCAAATTTGTGGCACACTTTCTAGGTTTCCTATTTTTAGAATCATCAACTTGCTTACTGCAGCACTGTCCAAGAGAAATACAATGCAAACACTTACGTAATTTTAAGTTTTTTCATAAAAAAAAAAAAACAGTAAAAAGAGGCAGGTGAAATTAACTAATGTTTTATTTAGGTCACTATAGCTAAAAAATTATCATTCTGACAAGTAATCAACAGCAAAAACTATTAATGAGACCTGCTACTTCTTTTAGAAGCAAGTCTTTGAAATCTAATATATATTTTATGCTTATGGTCCGTCTCAATTTGGACTAATCACATCAGAAGTGGGCAATAGCCACATGTGGCTAGTGGATATTATACAGGATGGTGAAATTCTGCAGTACTATTTTTCTCATACATCTAGGTTCATGTGAAGAGGGTTTTTTTGGTTTTTTTTTGTTGTTGTTGTTGTTTTTATTTATTTGACAGAGACCATAAGTAGGCAAAGAGGCAGGCAGAGATAGAGGGGGAAGCAGGCTCCCCGCTAAGCAGAGAGCCCGATGCGGGGCTTGATCCCAGGACCCTGAGACCATGACCTGAGCCGAAGGCAGAGGCTTAACCCGCTGAGCCACCCAGGCGCCCCCTTGTGAAGAGTTTTAATGACTGTCTGTCTGTCTGCAGATAGACAAATGTACGAAGAAGGCTAACGATGCTTCACAGTACTTTCTGCCTGGATGGTTATGAACTCTATGTGAGAACACAACGCCCAGTAGCAAGAATGCTAGTCTGATGTTTTCTAGCAGATTTCAAAAGCTACTGTCAACCAAAGATGGCGGTGGCTATATAGCTTGTTTTATAAAAGTTCTAGCATAGTCATTGTTTAAAACTCATTAGGTGGCAAAGGAGAAAAACCTCAAAATTACAGATATTCCTCACTTTTTTCTCCCTTTTCGGATTTGAAATTCACCGAATTTAAAAGTCAGATGCAGGGGCACCTGGGTGGCTCAGTGGGTTAAGCCTCTGCCTTCAGCTCAGGTCATATCTCAGCGTCTTGGGATCAAGCTCCACATCCAGCTCTCTGCTCAGCGGGGAGCCTGCTTCCCCCTCTTCCTCTGCCTGCCTCTCTGCCTACTTGTGCTCTGTCTCTGCCAAATAAATAAATAAAATCTTAAAAAAAAAAAAAACTTCAGATGCACAACAGCCCAGAGTCGTAGGCTTTCTTTAAGAAAATTAATTAAAAGGAACATTTGAAGGCACAAGGAATCTGTAATTCCTGGAAGACATCGCTGAGATCCTGTGAGCTCACATTTTCAAAATATGCCCCTTACATCTCCAGGACCCTTCAGAAGCTCGAAAGGAGGGACAGGGAGCTCCAGCTGAGCCTCTGGGCCACACCATACCTCGGATTCCACATTTTATCGACATTAGCTTCCAGATTTAGGCCCTCTCAGAAAAAATATTAACGGGGCGCCTGGGTGGCTCAGTGGGTTAAGGTCTCTGCCTACAGCTCTGGCCATGATCCCAGGGTCCTGGGATCGAGCCCCACATCGGGCTCTCTGCTCAGCGGGGAGCCTGCTTCCCGCACCAGCCCTACCCGACGACGCCTCCGCCTGCCTCTCTGCCTACTTGTGATCTCTGTCAAATAAATAAAAATTAAAAAAAAAAAGAAAAAGAAAAAAGCTTAACAATGGAGTTCTAAGGCAAAAAACAAATGTATGACACAAACTGAACCCCATGGCCCTAACATTTACTTACAAAGTAAGCTCCAGAAGATTGGATAATACTCACCAACAGGACAAAATTCTGAGTTTTCTAAATGCCAATTCAGTGCTTTTCCAGTACAAAATCATGTTAATACGCATTACAATCTTTTTGTCCTCCATTAAGTGTCAGCAAATACCAAGTTTTAGGACATAAAAGGAGAAAGGACACCTCACTCAGACCCATAGGGGTCAGAGAGACGGGCTATTAAAAGAAGTAACTTCTAGGCTAAGACTTAAGGTGGACTGGAAGGGAGTGCGGGTAGGCCTAGGAAGGGATGGGAGGCTAGACTGAGGTGGGGAAAGCAGCTACCATGTGTCCGTGGGGATCCAGGTGAGACAGCGGAGGGCTCCCATCAGAGAGGGAGCAGCAGTGAGGACTGAAAGAAACTGAAGGGCATTGCTGAGAGAGATTTAATTTATGATACAAGCAATTAGATGCATCAAGGGTTTGCAGGGGGAGAAGTAAAGGAAAAGGGGACACTCATGGATGACGGGACAGGTTAGCATTGGCAGTGTTTACAAGACACAGGATAGGGTAGGAAGGGTCATTGTGGCACACAAAGGGGTTAAGGAGATTGCAGAGTTCATTTTAGATCATGTGTTGTCTGGGGTGTTATTTGGGCATAGACAGAGAGATGCCCAGTGGGCAGTTGCTTCTATTTTAGGTGGTAAGCTTTAAGAATTACAAACCTGGTTACAAACCTGGAACTAGTAGATAGGTAAGTCCTGGAGTTCTAACACACACCACAGTGATTAGAGCCAACAGTGTTGTATTAAAAGCTTCAAAGGTGCCAAGAGACTAGATCTTACTTGTACCCACCACAAAAAAAAGAAATGATAATTCTGTGACATGAGAGAGGTACTAATGCTACCATGGTCACTGTATTACGATACATAAATGGATCAAACAACACTTGTACA